GACACTGTGCAAGTTGCTGGGCTGAATTCAGATGACACACATGGACAAAGCCCCACAGACACAGGTAAACAGTCTCATGGCCGGTGCAACTGTCTTCTTCAGGAGGCCACACACTGTTGCTTTGCTCCTCCTTCCATAGGAAAGCACAGAGGCTGGGGCACAGCTGGCCCTCAGGGACACTCGCTGGCTCGGGGAGGCGCCGGGCCCACTCCTGCCCCATGAATGGACAGTAGACCCACTGCAAGGCTGCTCTGTGCTCTCACCCTCCAAGCCTCAGCAGGGTCCAGGCCATGCTACACACCCGATAAATAAATGCCTGTTGAAATCTCAAGTGAATGAAAAGAAAGGAGGATGAACCAAGGTTGGAAAGATCAAGCAGTTTCCGGCCTCCTCCTCTGTGTGGCCCATTCACAGGGATCCTGCGTCCTGATCGCCTCTTACCCGCCAGCCTGGTTCATCCCGAGCCTCACGGATGAATATTCATGTGCACAGGAAGGCAGTCACAACTTGGGGGTCACAGAACTGAGCTGTGCAGGGGTCACCAAGAAGCCAGCGCACCACCTGCTGCTGCCGGGCAGAACACAGGGCTCTGTCCCAGCCAGAGATAGGGTTGGAGCCGGCCAAGGCCTTCTGAATCAGCAGGCTATGAGCCCTCTTCAGTCCAGGTGGCTGCTTTGTGTGCCTGGAACAGAGGAGGAAGTGCCCCACTGACCTGGCAGGCTCCAACCTTCTTCCTTTCAGCCCTGAGTATTTCCTTCCAAGACCACTTGGCCAAGCTGCCCCCGTGCTGTTTGGAAGGAACTGGTAATGATGGGGGGCTCACCACAAATGGTGGCTTTCAGAACAGTGTTCCTTTCATCCAGAGGGTACAGCTAACAGTGCTATGGGAAGAGACTCCTTTTAATTTATGAACACGTCTCAGGACGGAAGGGTGGCCCTGAAAATGTGCACAACTGGGTTTTAATAGAGGTGAAACAGTAAATCCAATACCACACTCTTGCTCTGGGGCTATGTTGATAGAACATGGAAGCAAAGAGTCTGCAACATGCTGTAGTGAATGTGGGAGCAAGCACAGGGCCACTGTCCTGCAGAGCTGGTCACATCACCACTGAGAATGCCTAAGAGGACACTGTGATTCAAACATCTTTTTCTATTAAAAGCAGAGTGCTAGAACTGCAAAACAGCTTTGTGGTCAACACTGGGCTGCTGAGTAATGATTACAAAGCATTGTTTAGAGTTTCTAATGATGCTTGGAAATGCTCATGACATAGTACAAGTTGAAGAGTGTGAGAGTGTGCGTGAGTGTGTGTGTGTGTAAAACTGTACCTATAATATAGCCTCAACTAAGTAAAATCATAATAGCTGGGAAAAAAACACAAAGCAGACAGGCTAATATTTTATCAATGGCTATCATTCAATTTTGAAATTTGCTATGACTTTTCCAGGACATGCCAGGGCCACAAAAGGACTTTGCAGCCATCCAGGACGTGGCCATAAGCACTGAGCCTGCTCCAGCCTTGTTGTGTGACTTCAGAGGAACCAACAGCCTCTCTGGGCTTTGGTAGCGTGTTCTCTCCCCAAGTCACTGATAAAAACAGAAAGTGCATCAGAAACAAGGAGAAGGCCCTGGACCAACTAGGCAAGTGGCAAGAGATGGCAAACTGGCAGTTCACTAGCCACATATGGCCACCACATATATTTTAATTAGCCCCAACTATGTTCTTAATTTTTTAAGTTCATAGCCAACATTTAAACATTAATAGATTTTAAGAATTCAGGTTTTGATCTTCTCTTTAAAAAACTGGGTTTAAGCCGGGCTCAGTGGCTCAGCCTGTAATCCCGCGCCTTTGGGAGGCTGAGGTGAGTGGATTGCCTGAGCCCACGGGTTCGAGACCCGCCTGGGCAGCGAGATCTCATCTAGCTAGCTGTACAATGGAATATTATTCAGCCATAAAAAGGAATGAAGGACTGACATATACATGAACCTCTAAAACATTATGTTAAATGAAAGAAGTCAGTCACAAAAGGCCACATGTTGTATGATTCTATTTATACAAAATGTCCAGGTGAATTCCTATAGATAGAAAGCAGATTGGTGGTTGCACAACATTGTGAATGTGCTAAAAACCACTGAATTGTCTACTTTAAAATGGTTAAGATGGTGATTCTACCTCAATTTTTTTTAAATGGAAGAGCAGACCCATATGCTCATTGTCCCTCCCTACTCTGACCTCCCAGCAACCTGTCTGGCTCCTGTGGGCACTGCAGAACACTAAGACCTGGAGGTAGTCCTATTCTGACCCACAAAGGAGATGCCCCAGCTCAAGCTAGAAGGTTGGGCCTCCAGCTCAGCCCAGGACACTTGGGTCTAGGGCACAGCTCTATCTACTAGATAAAAGAAAGGCTGGGCATAACTAGGTCATTTAAAGATATTTTGTTAGTTTGTCTCTCCTGATCAAGAAAAATTTACTCCTGATAAACAAGTCAAACAGCATAAAAAGGCTAAGTATGAAAACTAAGTCTCAGCCGGGCTTGGTGGCTCAGCCTGTAATCCCGCGCCTTTGGGAGGCTGAGGTGAGTGGATTGCCTGAGCCTGCAGGTTCGAGATCTGCCTGGGCAACTTGGTAAAACCTCATCTTTACAATAAATCAAAAATTAGCCAGGCGTGGTTGCGCACGCCTGTAGTTCCAGCTACTTGGAAGGCTGAGGTGGAAGGATCGCCGGAGCCCAGTAGGTCGAGGCTGCGGTAGCCGGGAGCGGCCACTGCACTACAGTCTGGGCGACAGAGTGAGACTCCAACTCAAAAGAAAAAGAAAAAAAAAGAAAAGAAAAGAAAGCTAAGTCTCCCTCCTACCACTCTGACCCCCAATCTCCTCCCCAGAATCAACAGCTGATTCAGCAGGATGTAATATTAAACTCATTGCTCCTGGTAAACACACTTTCTTTTCTGGGCACCGAGAAAACCACCCATCAATTTAATGTGTATTTAATAAAAAAATACAATTTTGAAAGGGATTGAGCAGTGTTTCCTAAAGAATATCCTATCCATAACTTTAGGTGGCCATCACTTTACTGAAGAATCATTTTTCAGATTTAAAAATAAAGGCGGGCTTGGTGGCTCAGTCTGTAATCCCAGCACTTTGAGAGGCTGAAGTGAGTGGACTGCCTGAGCCCACAGGTTCGAGATCAGCCCGGGCAAACTTGGCAAGACCTTGCCTCTACAATAAAATAAAAAATTAGCTGGGCATGGTAGTGCACACCTGTAGTTCCAGCTACTTGGAAGGCTAAGGTGGAAGGATCGCTGGAGCCCAGCAGATTGACACTGGGGTGGCCATGAGTGTGCCACTGCACTCTAGCCTGGGCAACAGAGTGAGACTCCAACTCAAAAATAAAATAAAACAATAAAATAATTTTAAAAATAAAGCCAAAGTCTACAAGGGCCTGCTGTCCCCAGGGCACTACCCTCCCCATGGACAAATGTAACCTCCACAGGCTTCCTGAGGGCACAGCACACAGGTGACAAACCCTGTGAGCCAACTTCCTGAGCAGCTCTGGAATTGGCCTTCAACGAGTGAAAACTGGACAGTTTTGCCTGAAGTTTCCCACAAGGCTCAGAGGATTCCTGTCAAAGGGGGTGTGGGGCTCTGCCTGGGTCACAGTGGCCAACAATAGTACTAAAGGATATCTGAGACCGGTATGCCTCCTGGACCGAGTTCAGGTACTTGGTAAGGCTGAGTGCAGGCCCCGAGTAACATGGAACCCCTACCCCTCCTCCCTGCTACCCAGGATTCACACTGGGCAGCAGGATTCACACTGAGCAGGTCCCTGCACCTGCACCCACGCCACCATTCCACTCCCTCCTACTTTCTCACATGCTGAGTCTTCTGAAGAGCACCTCTAGCTTCTTGATGCCTGGCAGAGGACTCAAGGGAAGCAGCCCTTGACCAAGACACTTGCCTCATACTCTCTGGACTCCTGGGCTAAATTTCACCCCAGGATGCTCTCAAAAAACCTCCCCTGAGGCCTGGACTACACAACACTGCCACGACACTGTATTTCCGCCCTGCCTGCCCTGACTAGGCCTTGAGGGCAGAGACCATTACCTGCTTGTCTCAGGGTTTCTGCATGGCAGGACAGAGCTTGGCATTTGGTACACTTCAGCGAACATCCAGGGAACTGAGCTGAACACAAGAGATGGTTCTGGAGGGAAACAGGGACTCCAAGAGATACAGGCAAGATGCCTCGAAACAGACAATTGCAAGTTCTTAGGCACAAAGCTCACAGATCAGCCATGGCCAGCAGGATTCAGAGCACCAGCAGGGACCACCCAGGGTGATAGGCCAGGAAGCCCTCAAGAAGCCCCCTGGGCCAAGCTCCCACAAAGCAATTAAGAAACTCATGGGCCCAAGATCATCACCCAGATCAATTCAGTTGTGTCGTGCTCATGCTTTCAATTTCCTACCACAAACTCTCTCACATTTTACACTAAGCAAAACTTTAAAACGTTTATTATTCCTAATAAACTGATTTTTTTATTGCTTTACATAACAAGAAGAATTACAGTAAATGTATATGCCCTTTTCATTAGCAGTGGTGGTAAGTACATCATAATTTCCAGCTAATTACAGCCACTTGATTTAGCTATTTCATGTTGTGTATTATGACTTCCTAAGCTGGGTGCTGGGTGCAGTTCTGAGGCTGAGAGATTTGAACTGCGTCCCAGAGAAAGGAAAAGTCATTTTTGACGCACGTGGAAGGAAAAGAAGTCAGCTTTCCCTCTACCAAAGCAGAAAACCATTCAAAACAGAAAGAGAAGACTGTGTCACTGTCCTCAAGCAGGAGGGTGAGAGCCTACTGCAGAGCAACATCAGGGCTGGAGGAGCTTGGCCACCCACCATAATCAACCAGATTCAGTCAGATGAGAGACAGCAAAAAGCACTGCCCTGTCCCCCTCACTCATTCAGCAGGCAAGCATGGGAAATCAGCAATGGGGTCTTTACCGAATGATGGCCAGGGGTCCGAAGTGCTGGTGGGAGCTGCTGGCCCGCCCCAGGGGTTGGTCTGGTTAGCCGAGGCCGATGGACCCCAGGGCTCCGCTTTCTGGGCTGCAGGGCCTGAGCTGGGGAGAGCATCCATTAAGTCCAACAGAGTGGTCTGCTGTGGGTGAGAGCCGTGCTTTTAAGACAAACAGAAGGGGACAGGTTTTATTTTGCTATAGTTACAGCAGTACCCATGAGTTAGCCATAAATATCACCCATGCCACTTACTGCAGTGAGGCCCTCTAGGAGGGGCCAAGAGGAACCTGGAAATTGAGCCACCCTATCTCCTGACCCATCCCACCAGCTCTGCCAACATTCCTGCTTCCCAGGACAGCACAGGCCCAGTCACACCAACCTATTTTCCATTTGCCAAGTGTCTCCCACACCTTCCAGCTTTCACACGGTCCTCAAGGCTCCGCAGACTTTTCTAGGCTAATACAGCTTTTGCCTGAACTCCAGATCACTGTCCCTCCCACCCACCAGCCACCATCCAGGGCCCAGCCAAAGGGCCCTCCTACTTGGGGGGTGCCCCTTCCCTCCCCACTCACGACACTATCATATCTGTCGTCAGGGACCTTTCAGCACTGTAACAGGGGAGGCTGCTGGAGTCCCCGGCCCCTGTGTTGTGAGCAGGGGTCTGACTCCTCCCTGGATGATGATGAGCTTGTTGGGAGCAAAGCCAGGTCCTGGTCATCTCTATATCGAAGCAGGAAGCTGAGCACAGTGTTCATGATGATGGCAATGAAGACCAGCACTACTAGGGGCATACCCCTCCCAGACAAGTATCCAAAGCACTTGACGTTTAGCTTAATAGCCGCCATAGCCGCAGAGGGCAGGCACTACCATCATTCCCGTTTTACAGATGAGGGGACTGAGGCACTGGAACATTAAGTGTCTTCTGGTTAGTACAGATGCCTTTTTAACTGCATCTTTATCTCACTCTCACTCACCATAGACATGTGAATTATTTGTTGAGGTTGGAGAACTCACTGAGTCTCACCTTCGCAGGAGGTGAGAGATGTTGAGGCAACAACTATAGAGCATTGCCAAACGTTTACTTCCCAGTAAGTTCTTACCTCTTTCTTTTTTGGAACTTTAACTGTGTCTCTTCGGCTTTCTTCCAGGGCCATCTGTAATCTGAGGTCATCACCCCGCCTGAGACGTTCTTCCTGCAGAGAGAAAATGATAACTTGAACCTGATGGTGGCCATAATAACATCACTATGCAGAACATAGCCACAACAGCCAGCAACGGGAAATGCACGTTGTATTATGTATTATTTCCAAGGAAGATTTAAAAACCACTTGTAAAACACAATTACTTTCCAATCCCCAACATGTGTATTCCCAGAAGGCTCCTCCCTCACTGTACCTCTTGTCACTTCAATCCTCTTGGGTCACAACAGAGAGATGGGGCTTCAGGAACCACCAAATTGGTGGAAGAGAATGCTTAATCTTAATCTAAGATTTTTTTTCCTCAAAATGAAAATGGCTTTATAATTCTTTCTACTTCTATATGTAATATGTCTCCTTATAAAACATAAACCTGAAACCTGAAAAGGAATTATAAAGGATAAAAATCATGTATCACTCCATCACCTACCATGTATGCTTCTGGATGATTCCTAACCAAGATGATTCATTATATTATTTAAGGCAAAGTCATCATGTGAAAAAAACAGGGTTGTCCTAGCTTTTATATAATAATTAAGCATAAATAAATACATTCCTTATACTTATTTTCTTTTTTGTTAGAGACAGACTCTGCTATGTTGCCCAGACTAGAGTGCAGTGGCTATCCACAGGCACAATTCCACTACTGTCCAGCATGGGAGTTTTGACTTGTTCCCTTATATTTTTTTTATTGTAAATATTAACTAAAATGAGCTCAAACCATATATTTATCCCTGTGCTTCTCAGTGGATATTCTCGTGCACCTTTTTCCGGAATGCTAGACACAGAGCCACATGTACCAACATGGATAGATTTACTGGCTTCCTGTTTCCCACCACAAGGACAGAGAGGTCATGACTGAAGCTGTCCACTGTAACTGAGCTTGAGGATATTGTCAATTTCAGATACACAAACAATGCTGGCACAATCCTGTCTGTATGCAAATCTAACTATCCTGATATTTCTCCCTGAACATCAACTTCTAAATGAGAGGAATTCCTGTGCCACCGCTGGCTCTATCTCTTTTTTAACTAAAGTCAGTGGAGACAGCGCTGACAAGTGCAAACAAAGGGATGACAATTTCTAAGATCACTTTAATCACTCCTTTCCCTCCTCTCCCATTTTAAAGTAATTCATGCTAATTAAAGAAAAAAGAGGTCAGGTGCACTGGCTCACATCTGTAATCACAGCACTTTGCGAGGTGGAGTTGAGAGGATTGCCTGATCCCAGGGGTTCAAGGCAATACCTCATCTCTACAATAAATCAAAAAATTAGCCGGGCATAGTGGCGCATGCCTGTGGTTCCAGTTACTTGGAATGCTGAGGCAGAAAGATAGCCTGAATCCAGCATGTCGAGGCTGCAGTGGCTGTGAGCATACCCTTGCACTCCAGCCTGTGCAAGAGTGAGACTCCAATTCAAAAAGAAAGAAAAAAAAAAAAACAAACAAGCAAGAAGTGAACAAAATTAAAACTACATATACGATGTGTACTATCATTAAAACATAAGCACTCTCATTTCCTGAGATACTTCCTTCCAGTCTTTATTTTTCTGCAGATCCCTTGCTACAGTTCAAACTGCTTGGCGAGGGGCTAAGCTGGCTCCAGCCCCATGGACCTGCACCTTTGCACCCACCCTACACATCACCCTCCAAGGGGTCTGCGTGCACTCAGTGCATTCAGGAAGAGCCCAGACACTGGCTGTGTCTGTACAAGCACTTTTGATTGGTTTCTTCCCTAGGCAATGACTTTCCTGGAAATTTGTCCTAAATGGAACTTTGAATGGGATCTTTCCCTGACTGGGGGCAGTGGGTGACAAGAACACACTTGTGGCCACACGAAGTACCAACTCAGCGAGCACATCTGAAACATTTTGAATACAGGGCTGTGGGTACCATCATCCTCCCTGTGACATGCCCCCAGCACAGGTGACCATAGCAGTAGGGACCAGCCCGGAGCACTGACCTGTTCAGCCACTTCTCTGCTCATCGCAAGGGCCAGCTGCAGCTGAAGCTCCTCTTCTCCACTAGTCTGGGGCCGGGCTTGCTCCAGCTCAGAGGACACCCGGGGGGAGGTGGCTGTAGGGAGAAGTAACGTTACTATGTGTAAAAGACAGTGTCATCCCAGCTCACGCCCAGCAGTTCCCTGATCAGACAACATCCAGTTCCCATCTCAACCCACAAGGTCCGGCAACAACCCAACAACGCAGGCAGAGGACAGGAAAAGTTTACAAATATTTCAAAGTTAAAACCAAGTGACAGTCAAATATAGCTTCACAACTGCATAAGCCACATGGTGCTGGGAGAAGACACCTTTGGGTATGCAAGCCCTGGCAGTTAGGTTTTGTGAGGATCAAAACATCAGTCTTCACTGCTCCAAAGAGAGTAACTAACCCAAACAAAGACCCAAAGTATGGTTCTTGAAGAGCTGGACCAAAGAGTGTCCTGCCCACACATGCAGGGCCTCTGAGAACCAAGGATTCCACTCAAGTCACAACAATGTTTAAGTGTTGAACTTTGACTCTCATGGTGTTAAGGATCATGGAAAATGAAGCCTGCCCATTTCTGCAGTAACCCGGAACGTTTTTGTTTTGTAAATTGACGAGGGAAAAAAATGCAGATACACATGCAGACATTTTTGCTATAAGTACTTAGCTAGTTTAAGACTTGTAAGCAGCTCCTGGAAAGACAGTTTTTATTGAAGGATGACAGATGAATTCCTAGCTGATGTAATAAACCCCAAATGAAAGAGTCTTTACATTCACGCCATGCGCCAGACTAGGTCTCCACGTGGGAAAATGCTGGGGCTTACACTGTCATTAGGATGATCTGTGGATCAGGGAATCTAAACGTCTCCAGAAACTAGATGTCGAGTTTTAGAAGCATGTGCCTAGTGTGTGCCCACCTCTGCCCCATCCCAAGAGGGATGCACAGTTTCTCTAAAACTCAGAGCAAGGCCTGCCTCTGCAACAGGTTTGCAGTCACTGCCTTAGATGGCTCCTGGCTCCATCCACCCTTTGGGCCTTGGTGCCTGCTGTTCCCTCAGCGCACCCACCTCCTAAATTTCCAGAGCTCAGGTTCCCATATCAGGTCCTATGGGACCATTCTCCACCCTGGGGTTGGATCAGACTGTACCTCTTCACTGAGGCATTCATCCCTGCTGGCAAATGCCTGTTGGGTGGATACTTGCATGCATGTACAGATATATGCAAACACAGTTGGACTAATGGATGGATAGACAGACAGATGGCAAATTATTTCATGGCTAATGGATAGCTGTCTTAAAATGTTCTAGTTGTGCATTAGGTTACTTCCCTCTCCCATTACATCCATTCTAGCAAACCTAACAGGGTTCACTCACCTAACTGATGCTTCTGCCTAACCCTCCAACCTAGACTTGCTTCTTAGATTGTGCCTCTTTGGGAGAAAGTAAAAAAATTGGGAATGATTCCTGACAAAGCAAGTTTCTAGATGGCTGGGCCCTGTCTATGGTGAATAAAACAGGAGAAAAAATCTAATTGCCATTCAGGCCATAGAGGTAATCCCCAGAAGAACCAGGTGAGGTGGAAACAGGTTGCTTCTGAATAGAGGTCTGAGGCAGGGCAGGGCAGGAGACTGGGAACTTCTCTACATTGTGACGTTGCCAACCAGAGAGGCATTACTCTGACGTGAAATTCTTTAAAACACACAATTCACAGAAACCAAGGGAAAAGCAGGGGCCTGGGGAATGTGGCACTGTCTCACTACTGCAGGTTGCCTTCTCTCCCAGCTACCCTCTGGAGGGAAGAACAGGAATTGTGAGTTTAAGTTCATCACTAAAGCAGCATCAAACGTGTCCTGGGCCTTCTCCTACTGCTAAGACAAGCCCCACTGGAAGAACTCCAAGCCTTCACCTGCTGGGGCCATTTCTAGTCTTCCAGTCTGTTACAAGAGCTGAGAGAAAGCCTACGGCAACATATAGCAAAATGATCTAGTTTAGAACAATTCTATGGAGTGAAGTCCAGCGTGTTTACTGTGATTATAAAAAATACAAATGTATTTTTCTAAATTGAATCAAATCCTACCCTAATGCATCACCCCCTCACTTATATACTTCTTTAGACATAAAGCTAGATGGTAATTCAAAGTCCTCAAATCCACCTTAATAATTTGATCTAATACACCAAAACAAGAAGTATTTTTATTGGTTCTGTTCCCAAATTTCACCTATGCCAATCAGAATGCTCATCTTCGGGCCTTTCTTGTGATCAGAACGCAAAGATGTCACCACCCACATTAAAGGAAATAAAGGAAGTCAGGCAGCTCTGGAGGTCAATCCTCAACTGAATGGGGCTCTCTCATCCAAATCATTAACCACTCCAGCTGCCATTCCCAGCCTCTTTCCTGATAAGGAACCTCTAAGGCTTGGTTCACAAAACCCTCAGTATATAACAAATACACAGCACATCTGATATCCTCCACTCACTACCAAATGGAAATCATGAGTGAATCAGGTAGAAGGTCCATTCCCACCCCAAAAAAAGTACTCTGGAAAATGAGCCCCGTGCTGGCAGGGAAGCTAGTACTGGGCTGCATTGTCACAGCGCCTGATTCAGCCAGGCCACGGAGGAAAGATGCTGGACTCTGAACAGGACCTGTTGGAGAAATGAGGTCTCCCTTGTCCTATGAGTTTTCTAGCACATCTGCAAGCCCAGACCAGCTTCAAATGCTAATCTACATGTTCATGTCTACCATAACTGGTGCAGTCAGAATGCATAGCCAGCACATACAGAAATAGCTTACCACATCAATGTGGAAATTAAGACAAAGGGTATTCCCCTAAACACTGTGGTTTTTATAAACGGATGTACAGCTTTCAGTTCCGTAGATGGCAGAATTCATAGCCACCCCCCGAATATCAGCTGAGCTACACACAGTGGCTCTGAGCTTTGAGGAAGCTTCCAGCAGAGATGTTCTTGCCTCAGTGACAGCAATCCAGCCCCACAAAGGGCCTCTTGTGCCCATGCACATGACAGTGAACACAGATGTCCTTGTGAGACGGCCTGAATGAATCCTTCTAACCACCTGAGCCTGGCCCTGCTCTAGGGACTGAAGGTTCAAAATTCACAGGAACCAAGGGAAAAGCAAGGGCCTGGGGGATGTGGCACTGTCTCACTGCTACAGGTTGCTTTCTCCCCCAGCCACCCTCTAGAGGGAAGAACAGGAATTGTTGAGTTCAAGCTCATCACTAAAGCAGAATCAAACGCATTCCAGGCCTTCTACCACTAAGGCAGCCTCTTACTGTTATAAGCCCCATCAGAAGAGCTCTAAGTCTTCACTTGGTATGGCCAATAATTACAATCACAGGTATGCCTCATTTCCATCCTTTCCAGTCTGTTAGGTGGGCTCAGAGAAAGCCTGAGGGGAGAGGCTAAGCAGGGAGGCTAGAAAAATCTTGCATCTTCCTCAAAATATAGTCTACAATGAAGACCAAGAAACCTCTCCCAGCTCACTCAGATCAAGGTCTCCCCCATTCAACTCCACTCTGCCTGCTCCAGAGCCTGAGGGGCTATATCCTGTGCTGAGGGAGGGACCCCCTTCCCAAATGTGCTCCTGAAACAAAGGCCAAAGAGTTTATAATAAAGATGCTTCAGTGGGCCAATTTCAGGTAATTTTAAAGAAGGAAACAAGGCAATCAAGTTGACAGAAAAACAGGAAATCACTTCTCAGCAGCTATATTTCGCAATTTTCCTAGAAAGTACTGAAGCAGCATCTGCAAATCACATAACGCTGATTAAAGGGACCAGGTACAGTGCGTTGGACATGGCTTTACCGTCAAATGCTCTGTATGGTAAGCAGCATGACTTCTGGTATGTGAGCTCACACAGAGCCCACAGTGGAGGCAGGGTGAGGGCATGGCCTGGCGATGCTGGACACACACAGGCGAGTCTGACAACTCAGCAAGGGTCTCAGGGGCCTGAAGATCCCACGTGGGCCCAAGCACATTGCCACTGTGCATGTCAGCAGAGGGGAGATTAGGTGGTAGAAAAGGCACTGGATGGACAAATCCTGTCCCACCATTGCCCAGCACATTCAAAAGCCTGACCTCTCTGAGCTTCTGCTGTTGCATCTGTGAAATGGCGACAGTGGCGCTTTTGTAGGCGGAGGTAAGGAGCAAGGGGCCCAGAGTGTTAGAACGCAGCTGGCTCTCCCCTGTAGATCTCAGTCCTGCCCCAGGTTGGTGCCCTCTCCTCCTTCTGTGACCACCAGGCCATGTAGGGTTGGAGCTCTGTCAGGTACCCCTGTCCTCCATCTCACACACAGAAAACCTGGCCCGCAGGCCTCAGAGGGACAGATCTACGGCTGTGGTCAGTGCTAGTCTCCACCCACCACTTTCTGCTGGGCTGGCTTCCCTCAAGGCAGGGTTGGGGAGCCAGCAATGAGCTTGGGGCCCCCTTCCACCATCCACGGACCAGTTCTCAAGTCTAGCTAAGTTCCTTCCTCATTACTGAATGGCAGCGAAGCACTTATTCGGTCTTCCTCAATGTGGTGTCATCTTCCTGTGATTCTGCAGGCCCCTTTCTGAATTAGCAATGACCTTCGCCACTTGAAGACACCCCCACCCAGCAGTTGTGGCTTAGATGAGGCTTCCAAACACAGGAGACCCTACCAAGCCCTCAATTCACCTCCTTGCAAGGAGGAGCAGGAAAGACTGCTTTTAGTCAAAAGAGGCAAATTATGAGAAAATAAGCTCAGATTATCCCAGGTAATGTTAAAAAAAAAGATGTAAGTCCTGGAAAAGCCAGAGGTGCACAATGGAAAATGCACTAAAGCACGATGTCCAGTCACAAAGTACTTGTGACTTTATAAAAGAAGGACAAGCCGGGCTTGGTGGCTCAGCCTGTAATCCCGCACCTTTGGGAGGCTGAGGTGAGTGGATTGCCTGAGCCTGCGGGTTTGAGACCCGGCTGGGCAACTTGGCAAGACCTCATCTCTACAATAAATCAAAAAAAATTAGCCGGGCGTGGTAGCGCGTGCCTGTAGTTCCGGCTACTGGGAAGGCTGAGGCGGAAGGATCGACGGAGCCCAGCAGGCCGAGG